TACTGGCTAACGGTTCCTGGCTCAGGGTGGAGGCCTGGTCCAATGATGCTGTCTGAGGGAGAGGGCCTTGGGGAAGTGATGGGCCGGATCAGGCTGCGAGGGTGGGGCCCCACGAGGGAATCACAAAGACTTTGTAAAGAGAATGGAGGACTTGGAGAGGAGCGCACTCCCTGGCTCCCCCATGCTCGCCTGCAGGCGCTGCACCTGCACCTCCCTCCTCAGAACCAGGCCTCGGCAGCCTTGGACAGTGAAGCTCCTACTGCTGACTCACACCTCCCTCCTTCAAGATGCTAGACACCACACTCCTTACAACACCTTACGAAACAGACAGCATAGAAAACGTAATGGAAAATTATCAATTAATCCTCTCCTCGAGCATAACATAGAACAGGAACAGAAGGGGAAATGGAAAACAACCAAGAATTTACAGCCTTTTGCTCAAACTGAGATCAACTACAATAAATGTAAATGACCTTGGCATTTAATGAAAAGGTAGAGGCTGTCAGGTTGACTCAAAAAGCAAAACCCAACTTCGTGTTTACAAGACACATCCTTTCAAATGCAAAGGCTGGGACAGCCAACAATGATGACAGAGACCTAAGACCAAGACACCAGAGGAAAAAGGGAATCATTTTGTAAAAATAAAACTATCAACTGATCAAGGGGACACAGCAATCCTAAATGTGTATACACCTAACAGAGCTAAACTAAAATGAACAAAATTCACGGGTAAGAGAGAGACAAACATGATTGTATTTGGAAAATGTATCACTCTTCTCCTATTAATAATTGATAAGATTAGATACTCTCCACCCACCAAACAATTGTGTAAAGACAGAGAAGGTAAGTGCAACACCATCAACCACCTCAAACACTACTCAGTAACTGTAGAGTAGATACTCTGTCCAAGAACACATGAAGTACTCACCTAGGTATGTCACAACCTAGATCATTAAACAATGGATTTAGAAGAAATGAATATATGCATGAAATTAAATTAGAAATTGACAGCAACACTACCCCTGGAAAATCCCCAATATTTGGAAATTAACAATATATAACTCATGTTTAACGAAGAAATCACAAGGGATTTAGAAAATATTTTGAACTAGGGCCGGTGCTGTGGCATAGTGGGTAAAGCCACCGCCTGCAGTGCCAGCATCCCATATGGGCACCAGTTTGAGACCCAGCTGCTCCACGTCCGATCCAGTTATCTGCTATGGCCTGGGAAAGCAGCAGAGGATGGCCCAAGTCCTTGGGCCCCTGCGCCCACTTGGGAGACCCGGAAGAAGCTCCTGGCTCCTGACTTCGCATCGGCGCAGCTCCAGCCATTGCAGTCAATTGGGGAGTGAACCAGTGGATGGAAGACCTCTCTCTCTCTGTCTCTCCTTCTCTGTGTAACTCTGACTTTCAAATAAATAAATAAAATATTTTGAGCTGCATATAAAAATATCACAATGTGTGAGGTGCAAATTTATGGCTTTAAATGCCCACTTTAGGGGTCAGCGCTGTGGCACAGTGGGCCCTGCACCTGTGTGGGAGACCTGGAAGAAGCTCCTGGCTGCTGGCTTTGGATTGGCCCAGCTCTGGCCATTGCAGCCACTTGGAGAGTGAATCAGAGGGTGGAAGACCTTTCTGTCTCTCCCTCTCTCTGTCTGAAACCTCTCAAATAAATAAAGTCTTTTTAAAAAAATGATTAGTTTAGAAAAAGATTTAAAATAATGGTCTAGGCTTTATCAAAGGAGCAAATTAAACAATGTAAGCAAAAAGAGAGAAATCAGAGCAGAAAGCAATGAAACAAACAATTTCCAATGGGGAAAAACTGGTCTTTCACACGATGAATCCAACTGAGACGCCCTGTCCTTGGATTCTTCAAGGAGGGACGGAAGAGACACAGGAGACAGATTTCAGGAACGACTGACAGATGGGTATTATCAGAACACGCTGTCCTGCACTGCCCATAACAGATCTCGCATTCAGAAAACCCATCACATCAATGCCTATTAGGGCTCAAAACCACAGGTGGATGACGCGACTGGACATGTACTGTAGCAGAGGGATGAACTTACTGGCAGTAGGGGTGGGGGACGTAGTGAGGGCCGCTCCCCGGGCCCACATGATAACGGCGTCTGTTTGTCCAACTTCCTGCCTGCAGCCCAGGCCCCCAGCCCGCGGGCCTCATTTCTGCCTTGCGGTCAAGGCACAGGCAGGAAGCAGAGCGCTGATGACCGGAGGGGTTCGACACACGAATTATTCAGAGCTTGCACGGGGGTGGCGGCTCTCACTCAGCCCCTGCCCCAGCCTCCGCCAGCGTCCTGCAGGCCTGAAGTCACTCAGTGGGTGTTCAGACACCTGCTGGGGAGCAGTGGCACTCAGCCTCTCTTAGGCAAAGGAATGTAACTGGAAGTTCATTTGGTGCAACAAATTTTTGAAATACAGGCAGTTGATCCTAATGCACATTTCTATCCGTTTTTTGAAGAGCCCTCATATGCATAGATTTCAAAATTTCCATATCAAAATAAACTTCTACATTTTTATTTTTTATTTCCTGAAAGGCAGAGAGACAGCTGAAAGGCAAGCTTCCAGATACTGGTTCACTCCCCCAAGGGTCTGCCACCTCCAGGGCTGGCCCAGACCAAAGCCAGAAGCTCAGACCTCCATCTAGGTCACCCACAGGGGGCCCAAGCACTTGCCTGTGCTGCCAGAGGCAGCTTCACCCATTGCAAGCAACACAGCGCCCGCCCCGAGGCCCTCAGAGCCATCCCCGCTAACTCCCCTCCGGGAGCCTGGATGCCTTCTCCAGTGCCCTGCTCAGTGTGTCTGCGTCCGGGGCTCACCAGGGTTCCTAGAAAGTTGTTTGGGTTTCCATTTCCTTGTAAGATGAGAGAAACTCCCGCTTTGCCTCCCTCAGTTGTTAAAGCCACTGAACTAAGACATCAGGTGAGGGCGCTCATGGCACGACAAAGTTCATGGAAAGCAGGGGACACAGCGGTTTAGGATGCCGCCTGAGACGCCTGCACTGTAGTCCTGACACTTCGGATCACTCCCTGCCAACACACGTGGGAAAGCAGTGGACGATGGCTCAAGTATTTGGATCGCTGCTACCAAGTGGAGAAGAGGAGGGAGCTCTGGCTCCAGGCTTTGGCCTGGCCCAGCCCTGGCTACCGCAGACATGTGGGGAGTGAACCAGCGGACGGACTATCGATACACACATACGGCTGGCCCTCAAACAAATAAACCATCTTTCCTTAGAGGGGCCCGTGCTGTGGCACAGCAGGTTAAGCTGCTGACTGCAGAGCCAGCATCCCATCTGGGCACCAGTTCAAGCCCCGGCTGCGCCACTTCTGATCCAGTTCCTTGGTAACCCATCCATATGCTTGGGACCCTGCGGCCACACAGGACACCAGGAAGAAGACCCTGGCTCCTGGCTGCAGCCCTAACTGGCCGAGCCCTAACTTGCATTCATTTGGGGAGCGAATCAGCAGATGGAAGATCTCTCTCCCCGCCCCCGTCTGTAGCTCTACCTTTCAATTAATTTTTTTTTTTAAAAAAAGGTCTTTTTCAGGGATTTCTGATTCCCTTTTTTTGCTTCAAAATCACCAAGCAGGCAGCAACACCGGGATCTCTCCAGGACCAGACTTACTGCTCTAGAATTTTCTGAAGAAAAACAGAATCCCTGTTAACCGGATTCAACAAATGTAAACAGAAGAGAATAACAGGGGAAGGAAAAAAATCAAGAAGGAGGTGGCAGGACCCAGGTCCAGGAGACAGCGGGCCAGGACACCCTCCCCTCCTTCAGCTGGCAGGAACGGCCACGCCTCTTCCCACCTCTCTCCAAGGCCGAGCCAGCCCAGGCTTTCCTCTGAAGACAGGCAGCTCCCACAGCCCCTTCCTGAGCACACAGCACTCTGCCTTCCTGTTACTTAAGCTCTGGGGGCCACTGACCCCTGCCATGGCTCCACCAGCCAGTCCCAGGCTCGTCTTCTCCTGGCAGACCCACCTGTCGGCCCCTGCTGCGCCCAGAGCGATCCGCCTTTCGGAAGACTCCCCTGTCCCATGGTTGTTCTTTCCTGCTCACTCCACAGCTGCGTCTTTCTGAGGTCAGACGCCTCCTGGGTGAGGCAGAGACTGGTACGGACCCTCTTCTTGGAGAAATGCTCAGAACACACACAGACATCACCTATGCACCTGCTGTGTGCAGCCCAGACAGCCCACGGGTGGGCCCCCCACCCCAGCACGCCCTTGTGGGGACCCATCTACTCCCACCAGCTTGCCCTCCTGTCCCAGATGAGAGGGCCACAGCTCAGGCACACAGACCCTCGCTGTGGTCTGTGGACGAGGTCTGGTCCAGGGACAACCCCACCAGGCCAGCAAACCCAGCACCAAGTCCCAGGCTGCTCTCCACACCGAGGGTGCCTAGTGTCAGCCCGGGTGTGACTTTATTCTAGGCACCCAATGGCTACTTAGCGACTGAGATACTGCCTTAGGGATTGTTTTAGCTGTGAAGACACAAACAGGAACAGCAGAAGAAGGAAGTCAGCCATGCCCAGCGCCGTCCTGGAACGACACCGGCGACTCAGAAGGAACTCCGTACTCTGAGGACCCGGCTTCTGAGCACACACAGCTGCAGGACCAGGTCACGACACACCGCCAGCGTTTCCGGGAGCACGGCTGGAGATCGGCACTCAGGGAGTCGAGAACAAAGGACGAACTCATGGGGCGCCCCATTCCCAAGGACGGAACCGGAACAGGCAGAGCAGGAGCGCTCAGAGACCTGGCGAGCCTGTCCCAGAGAGCAGCGGGCCGGCTTACACCCACCTCCCCGGTGACCGTCCCCTGCCCGGGGGAGCTTGTGTGGGTTGTTCCTACTTCTGTCCTTCATGGGGGGGGAGGCTGCCATGGAAACAACCCCACGTGTGCCACAGCTTCCCTTCCAACCCACAGAGGGCCTCGAAATCCACTCGGGGCTGAAACTAAGCTTTCCCGTAGCAGCTGCCTACCTTAAACACCAGCAACTTCAACTTCATGCAGCCAACTGCAGAACAGCCAAGGCACAACTCGGTTTCTTTTCAAATTCAAACAGATGTTTCATATAACCAAACCAGTCGCCTGCTTGAATTTCCTACACACATAGATTATATTCTCAAATCAGTTAAAGTTTCATTTGTAAGATATGTTTATCCTCACTGGACACTACATAATGCACACGCGTATCAAAACGTCACATGGCATCCCATAAATATGCAGTTTGTGTGTCAGTTAACAACTTTTTAATTAAAACTATACAAGACAGGTTACTTAAGACAGAAATAAATACTGATCTTTAGGGTGTAAAAATCTTGATATATACATATATATTCATATATATACACACATATTTATAAATATAAACATATTTATTATACACACACACAGCTGGAAGAAAGGGTGATAGCCTCAGTGGAAATGTTTTAAGATACATTTAAATATAAGGAAACTTCAAAAGCTCATGGGTAAATGGAACAAAGATAAGTTTATCTCCGTATAGAAACACCTTGGAACCCATGCACAGTTTTCTCATAAGATGCATTTTCCACAAACTTTCTGACTAGGGCTGCACAGGCTCTCCCTGGACCACCAGGTGTGGTCAGGGGTGTTCTGGGAGCGCCCTGGCCAGTGCTGCTCTGGGCACCCAGGGCGCTAGCAGTGCTGGCACAGGCAGGCAGGAGGGGCCTAAGGGAGACACAGCAGCCAGGGAGGCCGGCGCCGCGGCTCACTAGGCTAATCCTCCACCTTGCGGCGCCAGCACACCGGGTTCTAGTCCCGGTCGGGGCGCCAGATTCTGTCCCGGTTGCCCCTCTTCCAGTCCAGCTCTCTGCTGTGGCCAGGGAGTGCAGTGGAGGATGGCCCAAGTGCTTGGGCCCTGCACCCCATGGGAGACCAGGAGAAGCACCTGGCTCCTGCCATCGGTTCAGCGCGGTACGCCGGCCACATCACCCATTGCTGGGTGAACCAATGGCAAAGGAAGACCTTTCTCTCTGTCTCTCTCTCTCACTGTCCACTCTGCCTGTCAAAAAAAAAAAAAAAAAAAAAAAAAAAAAAAGGCAGCAGCAGCCAGGGAAAGGAATGCCGCAGCCTGGGACGCACAGCCCGGAAACAGCGCAGTACTGAACACCACCAAGTCCTGCCCTCACCCCAGTAACTGTATAGGTGGGCTCAGCCTCCTCCCCCACCCCCAGGGGAGGCCCCCAGTATGATAACCCTGGGCAATAATTTACTTACTTCATACCCAGGGACCCTCTGCTTAGGGGAAGGGGTTGGGGAGACCAGTGGGAGACGCGGACCGCACTCCCCTCTAAGCCCCAGCCTGCACACTGACTGTGCTCCCAGCACCTTCCCGGCCGCCCGCCCGGCCTGGGAGCTGCACCGCACTCAGGTGCCGGCTGAGCGTCCGCCTAGCCTAGCCTGTCAGGCGTGCCCTCTCTCTTACACTGTGCCATCTTGCTTATTCTGGGCGCTCTCTCTAAGGTTCTGTCTGCAGCGGTGCCCATCTGTTCTGACGGATGCTCTCCCCCGCCTCCCCGAAGCAGGGGACACAGGGCCCAAGGCCAGGTGGGCAAGGCCTGGGTAGGCAACTGAAGAAAAAGAGCAGAGATCACGAAAAGGCTGGACATGAAGGGAACAGCGCACTAATGGTGACATCTGAAGTCGGTGTACAGCGCACTAATGGTGACATCTGAAGTCGGTGTAATTACAGTTAGCCTCCTGGGACCAGACACAGAGACCTATTAACACATAGGCCTATTAAACTGATTTCCACGTTTTCAACTTTAACAGCCCAGTGGTTGGGGCACACTGAAAAGCTCCGTCACGAGCCCCCCCCCCCCACCCCAGTTCTGCAAAGAGCATGACCCCACCTTGGCTAAGTGGAATCGCACACACTGAATACAAGTGACTGAACAGACAAGCCGGCGGCCAGGTCCTCCCTGGGCCAGGATGTGCGATTCTGCCCCATGTTTCACAAACACCCCTCCCCCGCATTGTTCAAAAGCACATCGTCATGGAAAGAATGACTTGTGCCCGGATCCCGTCAGCGGGTAGAAGGGACATGTGACAGAATGAGGGCTAACATTTCCAATCAAAGGAACTAAGGGACAAGAGTTTTGAAACCAAGGCACTCAGCAGCGGGGTGGGCGAGGCCCCAGGACCAGCTCTGCCCTGGAGGACAAAGGACCCTGCAGGAGCCAGCCACAGTCCCAGTGCATCAAACCAGCCAGGGGTAGGTGGTGTGGGCAGCTCCAAGTGCTGGTTCTTTGAGGCTCTCATTGAGAGATCACTATCTAGCAAACACTCCTGCCCTTGCTCAGCCTTCCAAGTAAGGACCTGGCTCTGAGAGAGAAGGGGGAGAGAGAGAGAGAAAGACAGAGAGACAGAGAGAGACAGAGACAGAGAAAGATAGAGACAGAGAGAGAGAGAGAGACAGAGAGAGAAACAAAGAGATAGAGTGACAGAGAGACAGAGACAAAGAGAGACAGAGACAGAGACAGAGAGACAGAGAGAGACAGAGAGAAAGGGAGAGAGACAGAGACAGAAAGACAGAGACAGAGAGACAGAGAAAGAGAGAGACAAAGAGAGACAGAGACAGAGAGAGACAAAGAGAGATGGAGAGAGACAGAGACAGAGAGACAAAGAGAGACAGAGAGAAAGGGAGAGACAGAGAGAGAGAGACAGAGAGAGAGAGAGAGACAAAGAGAGAGAGAGACAGAGAGAGATGGGGGGGCAGTTCTGGAAAACCATTACCACAGGTGTGTGAACTGCTTTTCAAGTAAGTGGTGGAGGGGTAAGCGGGGAGAGTTATAAGTAAGTTGGTTCGTTTACTCATTTGAAAGCAGAGGCACAGCGACAGAGGTCTTCCATCTGCTGCCTACTCCCCAGATGGCTGCAAGAGCCAGGGCTGGGCCAGGCTGAAGCCAGGAGCCAGGGACCACAGCCTGGTCTCCACTGGCAGGGGCCCTGGCACTCGGGCCACCATCCACTGCTTCCCACGAGCGTTAGCGGGAGGCCCAGACCCCAGCAGGCTGGGCTCTTCTATACCCCAGGAGGGCTGGGGTAGGGCTGGGGGTAGGGGCCGCAGGCGGAGGTGATTCCCCCACACTGGTTCTCCAAGTGGCCGCCAGGCTTCCAAACCTGGGGAAGAATGCGGGGGTGGGGTGGAAAGCCAACAGGGTATGAGACCAAATCGAGATTCAGAGACAAGGACTAAATTCCGATTTCTGTCTGTCTTTTGGGCAAGGAGCGGGAATTCCATCAGAAGACCTCTCTTCCTCTCTTTCACATAAATAAATAAATCTTCAAAAAAAAAAAAAAAAAGAAAGAAAGAAAGAAAAAGAAACCCTCAGGCACGCAACCTCTCCAGGAGGCCCAACGCCCACACTGAGGGCTGAGGGCTGAGGCAATACCAGGCGCCACACAGCTTCCAGCAGCCCACGGCGGCCCCCACCCCGAGTGCCAGGCTGGACTGACTGCCTGTTCCAGCCAACACCTGCCCTCCCTTTCTGTAGGGGGCCCCTCGGAGACGCCTACACAGCTCTAACAACCCAGAATTGTCTTGCTCAGGGGCCTAGAGGTGCGCCAGGTTCCTGGGAGAGGGCAGGATCCCAACTCCGATCACAGTCTCTGGCAGACCCAGCTGGCCCAACTGGCCTAATGGGTTTCCACTGACACCCTCTGTGGCCGTGCATTCAAGCCTCCACTGGAGCCGGCTCCCTGCCCCCTGCCCCCTGCCCCCTGCCCCCTGGGTGGGGCCAGCTCCTTCGGGAATAAAACTCACTTCTGCCTGACCCCTGTCTGCCTTTATCTCTGACCAGGATGGTCCCCAGTGGCCCGGAGCCTCTGTTAATGAACGCAGACACTGGAGATGGGTTTCCACCAGGGAACAAGCCAAGACTCCGGCGGGAAATACCTGGGGCTGGGCGCCGTGGCCCTCGCCCGAACTGGCTGCAGGGCCGGCGGGCACTGCCTCGCTGGGAACGGCAGCCATGGGTGCGACGCGTCCAGGTGGGCCTGCGGCTCTGGCGTCCGAGTCCCCCCCAGGAGCTAAGTGCTGCCCACTACGCCGGCATCGGGTCTGCCTCGGGGGAGCTGTTCACGCAGGACGCTCCACAAGTACATGGAGCTGACCTTCTCACAGCCCCGGGACAGCCTGCTGACAGTGGGCCCGCCGATCGGCTACTGCCCGGGCAGCAGAACTGGGTCTCACTCAGGCTGAGCCAGGTATGAGGAAGAAGCCAACCCTCACCCGCCCACAGCTGCGGGCAGCCAACAACATCCACCCAAACCGCCCTAGGTCCATTCACAAGACCGATTATTATTGATTATTATTTATTCCCACTGAGGCAATAGGAATAAGGAATAGCAGCTGAGCGCAGAAGCCATCCAACTCGAGTCAGACGGACCGGCATTCAAGGCCTGGTCCAGTGTGGAGGTCGGTTCCCCTGCACTCCCTGTAAAAGCGGGCCAGGGCATCCCCCCCTCTCGGGGCTGCGGTGAGTGACACAGCCAGCCTCTCTTATCATGAATGCTTACATCTGCCTGCATCATGACCCGGCCAAGCCTGTTCTCAGACTACCTGGCCCGCCGAGGCACACCTCGGAGAGCGCCACGGTCACTTCCCACAGGAGTGTCCCCCAAGTGCCACCCCAGGCAGCCCTTAGGCTGGGAGAGCACCGGGAGCCCAGGTGCCTCCCCCAGTTCTCTGACCCACACGGGGCTAAGTGGCCACACCCTGATCACCTCTGCCTCCGCCGGCACCTGCTAGCCAAACTTCAGGGAATCTCAGAACAGATGCAAGAAGGCCTGGAGACTGCTGGTGGCCATTAAGGAACCAAGACCTGGAGGGGGAGGGGTCCTCAATGCCAAACCCTGTGTGAGAGACTGCACACCTATCACCACATGGGATCCCACTGGAACTCTGAGATTATCACACCCATTCCACAGCTGAGGAACACTGAGGTCAGGTCATCAAGGGTTTTTCCACAGTGCAGCAGCCCTCACTACCCAGCTGCCCCAATTCGAAGCCTGGTCCAAGTCCTGGCTGCTCCTTTTTTTTTTTTTTCTTTTTAAAGATTTTATTCATTTATTTGAGAGGCACAGCTAAAGACAGAAAGAGGCAGAGACAGAGAGGTCTTTCATCCACTGCAGGGGGGGCACTCCCCAGATGGCCGCAACAGCGGGAGCTGAGCCAATCTGAAGTCAGGACCCGCAGCTTCTTCCAGGTCTCCCACGCCAGTGCAGGGGCCCAAGCACTCGGGCCATCTTCCACTACTTTCAAAGGCCATAGCAAAGAGCTGGATTGGAAGAGGAGCAGCTGGGACCAGAACCGGCACCCACATGGGACGTTAGCACCACAGGCAGAGGCTTTGCCTGTTATGCCACAGCACCGGCCCCTGCTCCACTTTTGATCCAGCCCCCTGCTAATGCAACTGGGAAGGCAACAGAAGATGGCCCAAGTTACTTGGTTCTCTCTCACTCATGTGGGATACCCCTCTAGCATTCGGGGTCCCTGGCTTCAACCTGGTCCAACCACAGCTACAGTGGGCATCTGGGGAGGGAAGCACCCTCTCTGTCTCCCTCTCTGTTACTCTGCCTTTCAAGTAAATAAATACATCCTAAACCCAGCCTGACTCCAAGACCCACGCTCTCTTCCGGGCACACCTTGTCCCTGGCGTCCATTTGCAGACGGGTGGCTTGCTGTCTGAGCCCACCTCCTGGTGCTCTGAGTTTGGAGGCTTGCTAGCTTTCTTACAGTGCAGCATCTGTGCAGGGCCTCAGGTAGCAGGCAGCCAGGGGAGCCCCCAGTGCCCGGTGCACCAAGGCCACTGCCCGGTAACCACCACTCTGTACGTGGACCGGCCCGCCTCCGTGTCCCCACTAACCATGCACCTGCATCTCTGTGCAACCTCTAACTGACCTGGGAAAAGTCACAAAGCCAGAGGCAGCCAACGCCTGGTTCCCCCTCAGCCACGACTTCGCCTCGTATAGGGCACCGTCCACCCAGTTCTCCAGGCCTCTCCTCCATGCCCCAGCTCCACGGCTACTGCCCAGCCTATCTCTGAAATGCACACTGAGGCCCCCACCTCCCCAGGAGCCACTCCATAGCCAAGGTTACATGAAGGCACCAGGCTCCCACCTGCTGGACTTCAGCCACGGGATCTGCCAGGCAGGGGTTTTTTATGTTTTATTTGCGGCCCCTGCTGAAGCCCAGGCTGCTCTCCCCCTCCCCCTCCCACCCCGACAGGGTGCTACCTTCACAGTCCCCGGAGTGATCTAAGCAGCAGCTCGGCCCTGCTCCGCATGCTCCGTCCACCCCTGCATCTGGAACAGACCCCGCCTATCAGCAGCCCCTCCTGGCCTTGCCTGTCCCCCTGACCTCACCTGCTTCATCTAAGTCACTCCAGCCTTCCTGGAGCCCCTAACTCCCAGAATGCCCTGCGACGCTCCCTACCCAGACCCTGGCACAGGTGCCCCTCCCCCCAGACCTCAATGGCAGAAGCATCAGACCACTCCCCACAACCCCACCCAGGCTGCTGCACTGCCCAGCCTTCTACAGTGCAGTGCTCATCATTTTACAGTTTTTGAAAGATTTATTTATCAACGCTATATTCCTAAAAGTTGTACATATGACGTTTGTATTCATCAAATAAAAACATTTTTAAAAAAAGATTTATTTATTTACTTGAAAAGCAGAGTTACAGAGAAGAGAGACACAGAGCTCTATCCACTGGTTCACTCGCCCAGATGGCCGCACTGACCAGGGCTGGACCAAAGCCAGGAGCACACAACTCCATCCCAGTCTCCTACGTGCATGGCAGCGGCTCAAGTACTTGGGGGCCATCGTCAGCCGCCTTCCCTGGCACACTGGCAGAGAGCTGGATCCAAAGCAGAGCGGCTGGGTCACAAACCAGTGCTCCTCTATGGGATGCCAGCATCGCAGGTGGCAGCTTAGCCCGCTGCCCGGCAGTGCCAGCCCCCGTCCTCTCCCATGGGACACGCTCAGGAATGCCCCAGCCTGCACTGAGGGAACAGGTCTTCGTCTGCATTGCCACTATATACCACGCGCCTGGAACAGAGTGGGCACCCTAACACAGGGCATTCTTGGAGGTGGGCACTGGGCGCAGCGAGCCGTGCCTCAGCTTAGGGCATGAGCACCCTCTATCAGAGTGCCTGGTTCCAGTTCTAGCTCCTCTGCTTCTGATCCGGCTCTCTTAACAGTCACACATCCTGGGAGGCACTGGCTCGACTACGTGGACCCCTGGCACCCAACTGGGAAACTAGGATAGAGTTCCTGGCTCCTGGTTTGACTTGCGCCAGACCTGGCTACTGCAGGCATTTGGGGAGTGAACCAGCAGATGTAAGATCTCTGTCTCTCTCTCTGCATTTCAAATAAAAAGAAAATAATTTAAGAGACCAATCATCCTCTAGGGGAAAAAGTCCCACAGAACTGGTAGACTCAGCCTCTGATGATGCTGTGAGGTGTGGTTCAGGCTTTCTGTAAGTGTGACCTCGTCCGCATGAAATCATAGCGTGATCGCCGGCTCCCGGCACGGGGACCCACCGCAGAGCTGCCCCACGAGGGCCCAGAAAGCAGAAGTTAACTTTCCTGGGGCGAGGGGCCAGGATTTGGTTCTTTCCAAACACCTGCTGGGGGGTTTAAAGCCAAGTCATCAAGTGCCGACAGACGCCAGTCACACCGATCCCTTTCCAAAACAGCTGGAGGGAAAGGCTGAAACTGGGGGGAGGCCGCCGAGCTAGCCTGGTCAGCTCCAGTCCTGCTCCGCGGACCTCCCTGGACACCAGCTGTCCTTTCAGAGCCTGCGCGAGGCCCTTGGAGTCACAGAGCTCAAGGGGCTCCAGGAAGCAGGGCAGAGCCTTGCAGAGTGCCCGCCGTGGGGAGAAAGCACCCCAGCACCTGCGCAACACGGGCGAGCAGGGCTCCCACGAGCGGGCACTCCGGCTCCACCTCTTCCCCCAGGCCCCGCTAGGAGGGGGCGCGGTCTCCCTCTCACCTCACCCCAAAGCCGCAACTTCCTCCTCTCTGAACTGACCAGCCCGAACCCGAACTCAGAATGAGACTTCAGAACCCGAGACGACTCCACGTGGCCCCTGCAGCGGGCGCGGACTAGCTGCCTGCCCGGGAACCCTCGGCCGACCCGCGCCCCCACCCCACCCCCGACCTCGGGCCTGGCCGCCCGGGGCTGCCGGCCAGCACCGACCCGCGCGCGCCCGCCCCGCCCGGCAGAAAGGTGCACCTGACCCCGTGAGAGACCGGCACTGACTCGCGGCTGCCAACACGTGCCCAGGACTTCCCGGGATCCGCTCTTCCTCAGATAAGCTGCGGGGTGGGAGCCGAGGGGCCAGCACCTGCGCGCCTCGCCCCGGGACAGGCTCGGGCAAGCTCGGCCGCCGGGCCGGGCCGGGCCGCGTGAGCTCACGGGCGGAGGCGCTGACCCTGCCCGCGGCCGGACCTGGGCTCGGGGTCGCACGGCCGGGCCGGGCCGGGCCGGGCCGCGTGAGCTCACGGGCGGAGGCGCTGACCCTGCCCGCGGCCGGACCTGGGCTCGGGGTCGCACGGCCGCTGCGCTCCTCCCGGGCGCCGCCCGCGCCCCGTCCCGCGCGGAGTCCCCGCGGCCGCCTCTCGGGCTTCCCCGTCCGTCCCGCAGTCCCCGACGCCGGCGCGCACGCCGCTCACCTGGCCCGCACAGCACCGAGCGGACATCTCGGCGACCGACGACGGGGCGCTGCTCCTCCCGCGCCGCTCCGGGGCTGGCTCCCCGCGCCTCGAGCGTCCAGCTCCGCCCGGGCACGCCGAGCCCCAGGCTGAGCACCCTGCCGCCGCCGCCCGGGTAAAAACAACCGCCGCCGAGCGCCGCCCCGCCGCGCCAGACCCGCCCCGCCCCGCCCCGAGCACCGCCCCTCACCAAGCACCGCCTCCGAGCCCGACTTCACCGCCCAAGCCCCGCCCGCCGCAGCCAAGCCCCGCCTCCGAGCCCGGGCGCCGAGCCTCGCTTCACCGCCCAGGCCCCGCCTCCGAGTCTTGCTTCACCGCCCAGGCCCCGCCTCCGAGCCCGACTTCACCGCCCAAGCCCCGCCCGCCCCTCTCCAAGCCCCGCCTCCGAGCCCGGCCGCCGAGCCTCGCTTCACCGCCCAAGCCCCGCCTCCGAGCCCGACTTCACCGCCCAAGCCCCGCCTCCGAGCCCGACTTCACCGCCCAAGCTCCGCCCGCCGCGGCCAAGCCCCGCCTCCCAGTCCGGCCGCCGAGTCTCGCTTCACCGCCCAGGCCCCGCCTCCGAGCTCGACTTCACCGCCCAAGCTCCGCCCGCCGCGGCCAAGCCCCGCCTCCCAGTCCGGCCGCCGAGTCTCGCTTCACCGCCCAGGCCCCGCCTCCGAGCCCGGCCGCCGAGTCTCGCTTCACCGCCCAGGCCCCGCCTCCGAGCCCGGCCGCCGAGTCTCGCTTCACCGCCCAGGCCCCGCCTCCGAGCTCGACTTCACCGCCCAAGCCCCGCCCGCCGCAGCCAAGTCCCCCCTCTAAGCCCCACCCCCCACGGAGCCCCGCCCCGCCACGTCTCCTAGGTGCAGTCAAGTCCCACCACCACCCCGTCTCGCCCCGCCTCCAGCCCGTCCGTCACCTAGTCCCGCCCCCCACCGAGCCCCGCCCCGTCCCAGCCAAGCCCCGCCCCGCCGCCGCCGCTCCCCCGGTCCCCTGAACCCCGCGACGGAGCAGGGTTTCCCGGGCTCGCACTTCCGCTGGCGGCAGGCGGCTGGGCAGTCGCGGTCGCTTCGCCGGGAGGCGCCGGGCTCCTGGGTCGGACCCCCGTCGGCTCAGGAGGAGGAGCCGGCTGCTGCCCGGGGAAGGCTCGGCGCCCGGCGGGCGCTGCCAGCGTGTCCCGTCCGGGGCTGGCGCGCGTGGGTGCCCTGCCTCGAGGCCCCGGTCGTGGTCCCCGCGACGCCGCCTCAGCGCATCTCCTCAGAGGGGCGCTCGGGGCGGCGCGCGTGGGCGGGCGCGCTCCTCGCAGCCCTTCCCCGGGGAGAGCCCGGGCCTCCCGGGTGCGGGCCTCGCGCCGCCCCCTCCGTCAGACGAACCCCGCGGCGCCGCGGGGCCCAGCAGGGGCAGGGGTCAGCGCGACCCCGGGGCGCACGCGTGCGGGGGCTGTGTCGGGCCGGAGGGGCTCGGGCACCTGCAGAGTAAGAGGGAAGCCGCGCGGGGTCGCCGGGCCGGGGGCGCAGGCGTCGAGCGGAGGGGAAATCTTGGGGCGCGAAGGGGCCCTGCCCGGCCCCACGGAAGTAAGGAGGAGCATCGTCTGCCCGCCCACACTGAACGCAAGTGCCCGCCACCGGGCCCGCAGCCCCCCAGGGGTAGTGCCAAGCTTCTCACGGGGACTTGATGCGCGCGCCATTGTTCACCCGCTCCGGGCCTGGGGGCACCAGCTGGCCGCGCTGAGTTTCTGTCCCGCGGGAGATGAGCTCCCCGGGCAGTGAAGAGGGCGGCGAGGCCCGCGTGTCTGAGCAGGCTAGGCCTCCTGGGGGACCGGGGTCAGGGAAGCAGAGAGTCAGGGGCAGAGCGGTGCTAGGATCCAGGCCTCTTCGCCCGAATCCTGAATCCTGTCTCCCTTTGTCCACTGATCCCGCCTGGGGGAGAGAGAGAGCGCGCAATTCTTAATAACCTGCGGCCTTGGAGAAGGTGCGTACCCAAGATACCTGGATAGGGCCATGGGAGCTCATGCTAACAGCGCCAAGAACTGGCTGGGTGACGGGCCCCAGTGTCCCGATCTGCAGGACCTGGCTGAAACCGAGCCCTCAAGCAGCCGCCAGCCTCCCCCCACCGCCCACCCCGCCCCCAGCCTCACTCCTCCCTCCCTGCCCTGCCTGTATGCTGCAGATAAACCATTTACTGAAATTCACTCACTGAGGGGCGGCGGCGTGCCCCTTGTGTTATGCCAGCACTGGGGACTCCCGCATGCCAAACGGGAGTGCTGGCTTGGGTCCCAGCACCTCCACTTGTGATCCAGCGTCTTGCTAATGTGCACGCAGGAGGCAGCAGGTAGGTGATGGTGTTAGCAGGAAGATGGAGATGAGCCCATGGGTGTGCGACAGGGGCCAGTGGAAAACAAAGCACCTGCCCGAGGAATGTGGCCGCCTGGGAAGCAGCCCCACTTTTACAGCACAAACTCCTGCACATACTGCAATAACCTTATGGGTGGTCTCAGCTTGCACCCAAAGAAAGCGCCCCAAGAGTCCTCTGCCTGGTGCTGCAGGCTACCCAGTCTGGTATCACTGGGTGACAGGACCTCGGGAGCAATTTCAGCCATCTCACACCCAGAAGAAGGGAGGGGGAGGAGAAACTGGAAAGAACTGGACCCCATTCCCTTACAAGCCCCAGTCTGAGTGCAAACAGGGCTCTCGGTGGCTTGCTGAGACGCCTGCCTGGGCTGGCAGGTGCAGTTTCTCCACTCCGCTTTGCCACCTTGCTTACCCCGGTGTGAACACAGACTGAGCACTCATTCTTCTAGGGAGGTGCCCTCCATTCTGCCGGATGCACTGCCTCTGGAAACCTCGCTGCCTTCCTTCCTGCTCTCTCATGTCTCAAATTCTATTCCTGGGGCCGGCGCTGTGGCTTTTAGTGGGTAAAGCCGCCACCTGCAGTGCCAGCATCCCATATGGGCACCCGTTTGAGTCCCAGCTGCTCCACTTCTGATCCAGCTCTCTGCTATGGCCTGAGAAAGCAGTGGAAGATGGCCTAAGTCCTTGGGCCCCTGCACCCACGTGGGAGACCTGGAAGAAGCTCCTGGCTCCTGGCTTCAGACAGGCACAGCTCCGGCCATTGCAGCCAACTGGGGAGTGAACCAGCGGATAGAAGACCTCTCTCTCTGTCTCTCCATCTCTGTTTGCATAACTCTGACATTCAAATAAATAAATAAATCTTTCCAAAGAATAAATAAAATTATAATATTAAAGGACAAGAACCTCTACTCCAGCCATCTCTGCTAACAATGGCTCTAGTGCTTGGCCCCTGCCACACACATGGGAGATCAGGATAGAGTCCCGGTTCAGCCTGGGCCAGCCCTAGCTGTTGCAGGCATCTGAGGCATGAACCAACAGATGGAAGGCCTCTCTCTCTCTCTCTCCCCCTTCCTCTCTCTCTCCAAGTTAATCTTTTTTAAAAAATAGATACAATAAATTAACTCACTAAATTAAGGGAGTGGTGCCGTCAGCCATACAAGCCTCTAATCACTGGGCCTATAAGTTTTTATTTTTTATTTTTTTTAATTTGAAAGGCAAAGTGACAGAGAGAGAGAGAGATCATCCATCTGCTGGTTCACTCCCCAGATGGCTGCAATGCCCAGGGTTGGGCCAGGCTAAAGCCAGAAGCCTGGAGCTCCATCCGGGTCTCCCTCATGGGGGCAGCAGCCCAAGTACTTGGGCTGTCTTCCGCTGCCTCCCCAGGTCCAAGGGCAGGAATCTGTGTCAGAAGCAGAGACTTGAACCCCCTGCTCCGTAATACTTCTCCCTCCGAAGCTTCTCATCACCAGACCTGTGAGGTCAGTTATCTCCTCTGGAGACGGCATCTTGATGTGTTTGGCTTTGTCTTGAGTTTCTTTTCCAGGAACTCCAAACCCAGAGTGAAAAAGCGCTCCCCCTTGCACATAGCCTCCACACGGACTGGATCCCACTTTACCATCACCAGATTCCCTAAAGGTCGCTGACCAACCAGGGACCAGGACGCGTGTTGAGCGCACACTCCTGAATCCCACCTTCAGTCTCTACACCTCGGGGAACCCGGGAAGTCAGCCCTGGTCGCCGGGCTCCTTGCTCTGCACTTTGCAAATGAACACCCTTGCTTCTGCCACCCTGCTGTGGTGATTGGCCTCCGCGTGTCGGGTGACAGCGTCCAGCTCCGGGGCTTCTGCAGCAACCTGTCCAACCAGCCATGGGGGTGTTGGCTATTGAGGCCAGTAGTACACCCTCCCAGGATGAGGTCAACTCAGCCCTACAACCTGCAGTGCAGGACCTGGCCTCCTCGTAGGCGCTGACTTCATGATAGCCCTGACTGGGGTTAATAAACGAGTTAAAAAGATAGAACCGCTTTCTCTGCTGGCCCCTGGCATGCTGGGAGCCATGTGCCTGGGTGCAGGCCTGACCGAGTACAACAGTCACGCTGCAGACAAGCCAGGGCTGGGAAAACCTGCTGGCGAAGCTAGGGGTCTCCAAGGGAGGTGGCCCCAGGTTCCTGAAGAACGGGACTGTGCGAGGGGCGCACTGGAAGGACCCGAGAAATGCCCACTAAGGAGACAAGGCCACCAGCATGCTGGCTCCCCAGGTCAAACTCAGGATCCCAAAGGCATCAACCACAAGCTCATTCGTCTGCCGCCACGGCCCACCCAAGCTCAGGAAGCCCTCTCGGGCCCACAAGGTCCACAGCCCCGGCTCCAGCTGCAGCTCCAACTCCCAAAGGTGCCCAGCACCCACAAAAGGCTCTGACTGCCCCGTGTGAGGATGAAACAAGAGGGGCGACTCTGCCTTTGCATGGGGCTGGTCTGCTCCTGCGCTGTTGGCACAAAGAAGCCTGGGGCGGGGTCTGTCTGTCCAGGAAATCAATGAGACCAGCACAAAGAGAAGTCAATCATCCCTGAGGCAGGCCCATTGCCCCTTGTCCCTCTAAACCCCGAAGGAATGCGTGCAGATCTGGAAGCTTCCCGCTCTGTGGTTGGCTAACAGGAGGAGGAGTGACGTGGCAGGCGCAGCATGGAACAGGAGCGCCTTAGCTTTGAGTCCAGGTGCTCGGTGGACTTCTGCTGCCTCCGGCAAGACTGGCGCTCCCAGCCGGCCAGCTCCTTTGATCCTTTGATGTGGATTGTTCGGATCGAGC